ATAATAATAAACAAATATAATAACATTCTAAAATGACCAACATAAAAATACAGTATAAAAATAAAATAATAATATAAAAATAATTCTCTAAAAATAACAACACAAAAGTGTCTTAAAAATAAATTTACCAAAAAAATTCTGAAATAAAATTTTAAACCTAAAGTTTAAAAAATTCATTTAACAAAATTAAAAATAAAAATTCAACAAAGCAGTTAACAAAGTTAAAAATAAAAATTCAACAATGCATTTAACAAAGTTAAAAATAAAAATTCAACAAAGCATTTAACAAAGTAAAAAATAAAAATTCATTTAACAAAGTAAAAAATAAAAATTCATTTAACAAAGTTAAAAATAAAAATTCAACAAAATACACCACATTAAAATTAGTTACTCAAAATGTTTATCGTGGAAACGTTGTAGCTTTCCCTATTTGGGCCACCGATTACGAGAGGTAATATATTAAACTCTTATCATCGTGTCACAGCTTCGAACATTTGTGGTTTCCGCTGGATGCTTGATAAGAACATGTGTCTTTGTACGAACCGCGTAAACGACCGGAATTTATAACGAGCATCGAATTTATTCAACGGGATAACGTGACGGGAGAAGGACGGGTAGAAAGTGTTTCTTGTGACGCCATTAAAAATTAATTAGTGCTTCGGATCTCTTGTGGGGGACCATAAAGAAACGCTGTTGGTAATTTTATAGATATTGTTTTGGAATTACGTGTTGTGGTGTACTGTTGGACATTTTTTTATTTTTGTGCAAGTTTTTTAACGATTTAAGAAGTTTCATGGTGTTTGGTAATTTATTTAAGGACGTTGAGTATAGTGATGGATTTATGGCACTAGTTTTGGGACTTATGAGTTTTGGGTTTATAGAATTTTGGTTTTGGATTGAAGGATTTGGGAAATTTTGAGACTGAAGGATTTTGGAATTTTGAGAAATTTATTGGTTTGGAGATTTGGGGACTTAAGGTTCTGGGGATTTAAGGTTTTGGAAATTTAGAATTTTGGGCTTAGGGATTCTGGGACTTATGAAATTTTGGGATATTATGGTTTTTAGGAAGTTTGAAAGTTGGAAAATATCTAAAGGCCCAAACTTTCAAATTTCTACATTCTCAAGATTCGTAAGTCCCAAAATTACAAGGTCCCAGACTCCTATAAGTCCCAAAATTCTAAAGGTCCCAAAATCCCTAGATCCCATCTCTATAGTCGCAAAATCCCTAGGTTCCAAAATTCTATTGCCCCAAAATCTCTAGATCTTAAAACTCTATAGTCCTAAAATCCCTAGGTCCCAAATCTCTATAGTCCCAAAATCCTTAGGTCCCAAAATTCATAGATTTCAAAACTCTATAGTCTCAAAATCCCTAGGTCCCAAATCTCTATAGTCCCAAAATTCGAATCTCCCATAATCCTTAGATCCCAAAATCCCTAGGTCCCAAAATCCTTAGGTCCCAAAATTCTATTGCCCCAAAATTCTTAGGTTCCAAAACTCTATAGTCCCAAAATCCCTAAGACCCAAAATTCTATTGCCCCAAAATTCTTAGGTCCCAAAACTCTATAGTCCCAAAATCCTTAGGTCCCAAAATTATATTCTCCCAAAATTCATAGGTCTCAAAACTCTATAGTCCCAAAATCCCTGGGTCCCAAATCTCTATAATCCTAAAATTCGATTCTCCCAAAATCCTTAGGTCCCAAAATTGTATTCTCCCAAAATCCCTAGGTCCCAAAATTCTAAAGTCCCAAAATTCCAATTCACTCCCTAAATCCCCAAAAATAACTTAAAAAATCCAAAACCTCCAAACTCCCAAGACTTTGAATCCCCAATAATCTTAGTCCCCGGCCCCAACCATATCCTCTCGAAACTTTTCGTTTATCAATAACGCATCACGGTATATAAATACTGACGTATCAAATAACCACGGCTTGTTTTGCACACGTTACATAAACGCATCGGAAGAAAATGATTTCTTTTTATTTTCTTCAAATTTACAGTATCAATATTGAATGATGGTTTTGTATTACGATCGCTTATTTTTATTTATGAAAGGTTAACATCTCTGTGAGCACAACTAATCGTGTTACCGATACGTTATCAGACTCTCGACAAAAATATGTACACTCGCAAACATTTTATACAAACATCAAAGAGATATGAATTTTGAAGAGCATGCGAATTCGTGCCTCGTGTAATTCGAACAGAAATTGAGACACACTTGTGTTGCATTGATGTTTATAAAAATGATTGATCGATAATTGATTACTTTATTGATTACATCTTGCGAACGAACTTTGGAATTTTGGGACATTTTCTGTGATAATGTATAAAATTTTATCTAAATTCTTCCATGTATATGAATTTGTTCAATATAACAGTTATTATTAACAATTATTTATTATAAACCATTGTTAACAATTTATTTATTATAAACAATTAATTGTAGTTGTTTAGAAGCGTAACCTAGACCCATTTACAAAATAAAAAAATAACTACTACGTCATTTACAAGAAATACGACGCCAGCGGCCAATAGCCTCGAGCTGCCATCTTCTCAGCCGTACAGTCGATCTCCGCAAAATTTTTTCCCTCCATAAAACCTGCATTTACCGAGCCACAAAAATGCTAGGTAGATTACAAAATACGCAAGAAAGGCCCTTCCAATGTCCCCGCGCCAATTGCGCGCGCATAATAACACAAAATGGCGTTCCCCGTTGGGCACACGGTAATTACTCGAAACTAAATGTTTCTTTTTTTCCCACGCGATGTTTTACGACGGCGATTCGTCGAAACGTTCAACGAGAGAAGACTTAACCCAGACCGCGTTCTACAATGGCTCTTCTGTTTTTAGAGCTGCTGCCGCTCCCTCGACACTCCCTTCGTAATACCGAGAATCGCCTTAGAGAGATTGTAAAATATATTTATGGTACAGTCGATGTACTGGGTCTACAAAGTAATTTGCGATACTAGGGATTTTGGGGAATTTGGGATTTGGGGAATTTTGGAATTTGGGATTTTGGGGAATTTGGAATTTGAGAAATAGGACATCTAGGGAGTTTAGGAATTTGGGATTTTGGGGAATTTGGGATTTTGGGGAATTTGGGAATTTGGGATTTGGGGAATTTGGAATTTTGGGGAATTTGGGATTTGGGAAATTTGGAATTTTGGGAAATTTGGGATTTGGGGAATTTGGGATTTTGGGGAATTTGGGATTTTGGGGAATTTGAGATTTGGGGAATTTGGGATTTGGGGATTTGGGATTTAGGAAATTTGGGATTTGGGGAATTTGGGATTTGAGGAATTTGGAATTTTGGGGAATTTGGGATTTGGAGAATTTTTGAATTTTGAGGATTTTGGAATTTGGGGAATTTGGAATTTGAGGAATAGGAGATCTAGGGAGTTTAGAAACTTGGGGAATTTGGTATTTGGGGAATTTGGAATTTTGGGAATTTGGGATTTGGGAAATTTGGAATTTTGGGGAATTTGGGATTTGGGGAATTTGGGATTTGGGGAATTTGGGATTTGGGGAATTTGGAATTTTGGGGAATTTGGGATTTGGGGAATTTGGGATTTGAGGAGTTTGAAATCTGGAGAATTTGGAATCTGGGGAATTTTGAATTTGAGAAATTTAGATTTTGCCGAATTTTAAATTATAGAAGCTTGATATTTGGAAAATTTCCCTTAATGTCCCTTAATATTTCACAATTTCCATGAAATATTTTTTTGTATAATTAAAGCTGTTTACGAAATATAAGGGTGGGTTCATATTTCTGAGAGACCCTGTATAGATTTTCTTCTGGTTGAGACTTAATGCGAGGACGCGTTCTTCTGCCGACTCGGAGGATTAACATCCAGGTGTATAGGATTTATGCTGCTCCTTGCAAATTGCTGCTTTTACAACGTTCTCGAGCGAACCAGGCCAAGGAGATGAATCTGTATTAGAGATTTTTGTTCAGAAGCTTCTTTCTCCTTTGTATTGTGATTTATGTTCGGTTTCTTCGATGCCTGTTGTTAGAATGTACAGTTGCAGGGGATAGGAAGTAGTACTATACATTCTTATAGATTATTCACTTAATTAATTTTCAAGAAATGATTTTTATGATGTTTCTAATTTTATATTTGCTGAAGGGAGATGTTTTCAAATTTCCTTTTTGGGTTATTAAATTTTTCAATTTCCAAATTCTTAAATTTTTCACTTGATATTTTTCTCAATTCCTTAATTTCCTACTTCCTAAATACCCCATTAGCTAAATTGCCCAGTTTCTAAATTTCCTATTTCCTAAATTCCCCACTAGCTAAATCCCCCCATTCCTTAATTTCCCACTTCCCAGATTCCCCAATTCCTTAATTTCCCACTTCCTAAATTCCTCAGTTTCCTAATTTCCCATTTCCTAAATTCCTCAGTTTCCTAATTTCCCACTTCCTAAATTCCTCTGCTTCCTAATTTTCCACTTCCTAAATTCCCCACTAGCTAAATCCCCCCATTACTTAATTTCCCACTTCCCAGATTCCCCAATTCCTTAATTTCCCATTTCCTAAATTCCTCAGTTTCCTAATTTCCCACTTCCTAAATTCCCCACTAGCTAAATCCCCCCATTGCTTAATTTCCCACTTCCCAGATTCCCCAATTCCTTAATTTCCCACTTCCTAAATTCCTCAGTTTCCTAATTTCCCACTATCTAAATTCCCCACTAGCTAAATCCCCCCATTCCTTAATTTCCCACTTCCCAAATTCCCCAATTCCTTAATATCCCACCGCCTAAATTCCCAACTCCTTAATTCCCCACCACCTAAATTCCCAACTTCCAAAATTACCCACCCCTAAAATTTTCAAATCCCAAATTCCGAAATTTTCTAAATCACTAAAATTCTAGAAGTGCTATCATACATTATTTATACCATAATCACACCCTCATAAAAAAAATCAATAAACACTACATAAAAAAAAATTGAATTAAAATTGTCAACATTAAATTAATATTGTTTGTACTATGTCCACAGCCACGTCAGCAGTGATCCTGAAGACAGAACACGAACATAATCAGTTGTCCAGTCTTTCCGGTGACAACGTGGTCGGCTCAGGGGTCAGAATTGGACGGGGTGAGAACGCAGACGCGGTTGGCAACGGGAACATTATGGATTCGGCGCAATCAGCCATGATGAAGCAAACAGACTACGTCGTAGGTCAGTGAACCAACCTCGAATATTATTTTTTGCACTAATATTTTACTTTTAATCAGTTCAAACAGTGTTCATATGAAAACCATAACCTCAAGGGTGGTTTTAACCCTCAAGGTTCAAAATTATAATTTTAATAATCAGTGATCAGCTTCGTTCTTGTGAAGTGAGTTACACTTTGACGATTACATATTTTGTAGAATACAATTTATTTTTTATTTAAATATTATTTTTTCTTGAGTGACAATTATTGCTATTTTTTAGTGACAATTCTTGTAAACTTTAAATATATAGCAAATATATGTGGAGTTCTAATATGTGTGAATATGTGTGAAAGAATATTTGAAAATTCAGTGATAATTAATTGAAAATTTATTGAAAATTGAGGTTAAGTGGGTGAAAAATGGCGGACATTTTGTTAGCGTTCTTTTGAAATTGTTTACAAAGAAATATTTAATACACGAGTTCTTTTTATAATTTTCATTTATAATAATGAAAATATTTTTTACTTTGTTATAATCTGCAGGTAAAGTAAACTGATATAAATAATTCAATAATTTGAAATTGTACACCATTAACAAATCATTGTTTAGAATTCATGAATATAAAAAATTCATTTGAAAGTAAAATTCATTAATTTTCATGTTCAAACAGTGATAAAAAATTATAATGTTCATGTGCACGAACATGTGTTTAACACTTTACTTATAGTGTTATTCGTATGTGCATAAATTTGTGTCAGCATTTTTTAATTCTTTTTTTATTTACTGTATATAGAATAGTATTTGTTTTGTGATGTAAATTGTAGAAACTGACGAATGCACACTCTTTATTGCTATTAAAAGACATTCGAAATTATAAAGAATATTGATGTCGTGAAATGCGCAGGTAGTATAATATTGAGAATTATTTGTGGCCTTGGAAAAAGTACAAATTATATTGTAATAATTTTGTGTTATTGTTATTATTTTGTATTATTTTTGTTACTGATTTTTGTTGTGGTTATTAATGTTGATTAAATAACGATATAATCGGACAGCATTGTTAGAAAAATATAGAAAAACTGTTGAATTATTAAGAAATCGAAATATCGAGAAATCGAGATATCGAAATAATCGAAGTAATTGAATTAATCGAAATTATCGAAGTAATCGAAGTAATCGCAATAGTCGAAATAATCGAAATAATCGAAATAATCGAAGTAATCGAAATAATCGAAATAATCGAAGTAATCGAAATAATCGAAATAATCGAAGTAATCGAAATAATCGAAATAATCGAAGTAATCGAAATAATCGAAATAATCGAAGTAATCGAAATAATCGAAATAATCGAAGTAATCGAAATAATCGAAATAATCGAAGTAATCGAAATAATCGAAATAATCGAAGTAATCGAAATAATCGAAATAATCGAAGTAATCGAAATAATCGAAATAATCGAAGTAATCGAAATAATCGAAATAATCGAAGTAATCGAAATAATCGAAATAATCGAAGTAATCGAAATAATCGAAATAATCGAAGTAATCGAAATAATCGAAATAATCGAAGTAATCGAAATAATCGAAATAATCGAAGTAATCGAAATAATCGAAATAATCGAAGTAATCGAAATAATCGAAATAATCGAAGTAATCGAAATAATCGAAGTAATCGCAGCAATCGAAATAATCGAAACAATCGAAATAATCGAAATAATCGTAGTAATCGAAATAATCGAAGTAATCGAAATAATCGAAATAATCGAAATAATCGAAACATCAATACATAAAAATATAAAAAACATAAAAAATGTGACAGCCGCGAATTATAAAAGTCAAACACGTGATGGTGTGATTAATGTTAATAAATTCCACATTGCACGATAAAAGTATCGTAATCTACGCTTTCAACGAACACGGTCAAATGTCACTAAAAATCTCACGATTAGTGTAATCGAAATAATCAAAATAATCGAAATAATCGAAGTAATCGCAGCAATCGAAATAATCGAAACAATCGAAATAATCGTAGTAATCGAAATAATCGAAGTAATTAAAATAATCGAAATAACGAAACTAATCGAAACATCAATACATAAAAATATAAAAAACATAAAAAATGTGACAGCCGCGAATTATAAAAGTCAAACACGTGATGGTGTGATTAATGTTAATAAATTCCACATTGCACGATAAAAGTATCGTAATCTACGCTTTCAACGAACACGGTCAAATGTCACTAAAAATCTCACGATTAGTGTCAGTATCGCCATTTTCTTTGTCACATAACGATCAAGTTGAACCGCGACATCGATTTTTTTCCAGGAATCGTATCGCACAAAACTAAGCTCGCATTTCTTAGATCATATCCCTGCTGCCCTTTCGATAAAGTGTCACGCTCATATTACAATTCTCGAACGAGGAAAATTTTCGCCAACGTAATTCTTACATAATGGACGCTTAAAATTGCACTGTACTTATCCACCTGTTACGTAACATCGTTTGTCATCGGCGTAAATACCTTGCATTTTATAATCCTACAAACGTAACTTCTGAACTTCAACAACTAATTAATCGAGTCTTAACCTCCAGTACGTGTTGACATATGTAACGATTCGTACCTGAAAAAATAATGCAAGAGGCAGTTTGTATTGCTCGAATTAACAGCCTAAGCTCCGTGATAACAGCATTGCGAAAATCGACTTTGCAATTTCTTATCGTTATTTACGTTTGTCCGTATCTTTGCTTATTTTCTTTATGTAGCAAATATACTTTGAAATGCAGTACTACAATTTTCAACAATTAGTAAAGGAACGTTCGTAATTGATAAGTTGAAATAAAATTTTTCATTTAAAAAATTTTTTAATTGCGAGTTAACTGTGTGTAATAATGAACTCATTAGTGTTTGAAGGGTAAAGTAATATTTTATCGTTTGCAAATTCCCTAGATCCAAAATTCTCCAAATTTCAAATTCCCTAGATCTCAAATTCCCCAAACTCCAAATTCACTAGATTCCAAATTCCCCAAATTCCCTAGATTCCAAATTCCCTAGATGCCAAATTCTCTAGATTCCAAATTCCCCAGATTCCGAATTCCCCAAATTTCAAATTCACTATATTCCAAATTCCCTATATTCCAAATCCCCTAGATTCCAAATTCCCTAGATTCCGAATTCCCCAAATTTCAAATTTCCTAGATTCCAAATCCCCTAGATTACAAATTCCCTAGATTCCAAATCCCCTAGATTCCAGATTCCCTAGATTCCAAATTCCCCAGATTCCAAATTCCCTAGATTCCGAATTCCCCAAATTTCCTAGATTCCAAATCCCCTAGATTCCAAATTCCCCAGATTCCAAATACCCTAGATTCCGAATTCCCCAAATTTCAAATTTCCTAGATACCAAATCCCCTAGATTCCAGATTCCCTAGATTCCAAATTCCCCAAATTTCGAATTCCCCATATTCCAAATTCCCCAAATTTCAAATTCCCTAGATTCCAGATTCCCTAGATTCCAAATTCCCCAGATTCCAAATTCCCCAAATTTCAAATTCCCCAGATTCCGAATTCCCCACTTTCCAAATTCCCCTATTCATAAATTCCTAAATCACCCAATTTAAAAATTCCCAACTCTCAAAATCCCCAAATTCTCACATCTCTATGTCTCCATATCCCTAGATCCTCATATGCAAATATCTCAGCATCCTCACGTTAATATTAGCATTCATAACCACACACTTTATTGACACATCCAGAATTACAACTATCGTTTCGTCGAAACGATCATTTGCATTCGTCAATCAATAATCAACACATGATTTCACTGTGTTCTTTTTGTCACCGATCACTGGCAAACATGTTTACATTGACAGCGCTTAAATGGACACCATTCATTGTGTTTTCAAGTCTATTTAGGGAATAAAACAAGCCTTGTTTGTATAGATAATTACGTCAATTTCTTTTTTGCTATTAACATCATTGTCTATTCGGGACGATTAACCCTGCAGACAGTAAATTCATTATTCCTTTAATAATTTATTTCTTGAAACCTTCAAGGAACTTATACAAAGTTAATAAAATTACTTACGTTTCGGTTCAATTAACGTCAGCTTTAAATTGCAAATTTAATAAATTATGTCGGATTTATTTTTATGCCGGTGAGAAAACTCTTGTATAAATATTCAATCACGGATGTAAATTTTCGTGTAAATATTCATTGTCGAATTTAAATGCACGAAAGTGCTTTAATAGAGCACTTAACGTTAAATATTGATCAAGTATTAATGAGTAAGCAATTACGTTCTTATAAATAATTTGAACTCCACTGACGTTACTTTTACCTGCTACTTATCGTATATAAAGGTAGACATAATTATCACGTAATAAACATTTTAATTACGGTTCATTAAAAACGCAGAAATATATTACTTTCATTAGCACTCAAATTATGAGGGATTAAAAAAATTCAATTTCACATAATTTTATAATCGATCTCGTAATAAAAATTTCTATGAAATGTGTAGTCGTCAAAGTGTAAATTTAAGCATTAAGTCAGATCAAGGGATAATAATCAGCCGCGGAAATGATCTCTCGAACAGCAAACTTCGACCGATTAGTCAACTCACGATGTGTTCAAAGTTCACTGTGCCACTTTTGTGGAGGCGTGAACGGCGAAACCGCGAATAGCACTCACTGAAAATCCGCACGTGGTCAGATAACGTTCCTCTAATCTTTGCTTTCGACCTTACAGACGTGGTCTTACCCACCGTCCTAATTGCTCTGCTGTTCGTTGGCAATGCCATCATCGTGTACATCATCTTCCAATACAGAAAGAGGTGAGTAAAGTTCGTATCATTGTCCAAAGTTCCTTTTAATACTCTCAAATTGTAGAGAAACTCGCTTTTACTTCATTAAAATTATTTTTTTACTTCTGGTTAAGTTAATTTCTTTGAAAAAAAGAAGATTTGGTTTGATACGATTTGAATTTGGCGCCATTTTATTTGACGTCATTCTAATTTACTGTTATGTCATTCTATGCAATTCAAATTTGCCGCCATTTACATTCAATCTAAGTCTAATCAGCGTAGTTCAAGGATTCGTTCGATTTAAGTCAATAGAATTCTAATTTGAAGCATTTCAGTTAAATGTAATTCAAATTGGCGCTCTTTAATTTAACACGCAATTCAAACATGGCGTCATTACAGATCGCTATGAGTCAGACTTTTGCCGCGCGTAAAAACAATGAACATAATTCAATAGTTAAGTGCAATTGGTTAGAATATAATTGACACTTGAATTAGTACTATATTTTCGTTTGATTAGAAAAGTTTAGAAGTTGTATATATCAGAAGAATAAGTGCGAGGACTTGTGAGAAAATGTAGTTAACTGACATCTGACAGCCAGCGTTGGAATCACTTGATGTACTTTAAAGATTCCAGTTTGAATTTTATGAATACATGAATATTAATTACAAATGTAATTAAAAAATCTGGTTAATGTTATTCAGACTTAAGATTCTGAGACTATAAAAATGTATATAAAAAATACTATACTACCATAGTTATAACCTCAATTCATCCTGGTTTTAGTTAAGCTACTAATTTTAAGGTTAAATTGTAGTATGCTTTTCAAAATAATTACAAACGAATTAACAAAAACATTTTATTTGCAGGAAAGTTCCATCTATGGAACAAGGCGAGGAGATGGCATTGCGGAACTCAGCAGAAGTGCCCCAGGTGTGATTCGCCCTACCAACAACTCCAAGTTCACAGTGCCAGGCAAAAGCGTCAGCGAGAAGGCCTACGTTGCATTTTTCTACGAGAATGATCTCCCAAAAAATTGAAACAAAAAATGAATCTCCAAAAACAAAGAGAGACATTGCTCTCTTAACGCGGTCAAGCGAAGGAACATTCGAAATCTCGTGTCTGTTCGGATTTTAGTGAAATGAGACGAACGGAAATGACGGAGGCACTCTCGAGGAAAGACTATAAATGCGCTCGTCGCCGCTCGTTTAGAAATTCGCTGTCAATATTTTAGTAACTCAGGCGCCTATTTAAGTGCTGCCACGTATTTTGCGTAAACATATACACGTACACATACACACATTGTACACAGACACACGCGTATACAACATACGATAATGTATTATAATATAAGGAAATAATATATTCTATATTTCGTCCGAACTGTGACTAAGTTAAGAATAAACGGATGTTTTTCTTAATATTGTCTTTAATGTTCCCTTTCTTTCAGTTGAATTAAATATTGATAAAAAATAGTTTGATTTATTGTACAAATGATGATTATAATTTACAGTATTAATGGAATATGAACATACAGTATGAAGTTGAATTAGAAATATTTCTGTAAGGGTTCCCCTAGAATTTCTTCAAGGGTGCGAACTGCGTTCTGGGCACACTTCTCTGTAGCTTCGTCCTCATCTTCTAGTAACTCTGCTAGGAACGGTATGGTTTCTGGTAACAATGGCATAAAGTCTTCACCTAACTTCCTCACTATTTCCACCTGTAATGAAATTTGCATTAAAACTTGTGTTGTAAATTATCCTCTTCCTGCATACATAATTAAAACTAACTTAACCTCAAACAACATAATGGATTAGGTTAGGTTAGTAACTTAACCTCAAACAACATAATGGATTAGGTTAGGTTAGTAACTTAACCTCAAACAACATAATGGATTAGGTTAGGTTAGTAACTTAACCTCAAACAACATAATGGATTAGGTTAGGTTAGTAACTTAACCTCAAACAACATAATGGATTAGGTTAGGTTAGTAACTTAACCTCAAACAACATAATGGATTAGGTTAGGTTAGTAACTTAACCTCAAACAACATAATGGATTAGGTTAGGTTAGTAACTTAACCTCAAACAACATAATGGATTAGGTTAGGTTAGTAACTTAACCTCAAACAACATAATGGATTAGGTTAGGTTAGTAACTTAACCTCAAACAACATAATGGATTAGGTTAGGTTAGTAACTTAACCTCAAACAACATAATGGATTAGGTTAGGTTAGTAACTTAACCTCAAACAACATAATGGATTAGGTTAGGTTAGTAACTTAACCTCAAATAACATAATGAATTAGGTTAGGTTAAATACAGGTTAGGTTAGTAACTTAACCTCAAACAACATAATGGATTAGGTTAGGTTAGTAACTTAACCTCAAACAACATAATGGATTAGGTTAGGTTAGTAACTTAACCTCAAACAACATAATGGATTAGGTTAGGTTAGTAACTTAACCTCAAACAACATAATGGATTAGGTTAGGTTAGTAACTTAACCTCAAACAACATAATAGATTAGATTAGGCTAGTAACTTAACCTCAAACAACATAATGGGTTAGGTTACATAAAGGTTACCTAAACTCTAGGTTAGATAGTAGGTCTAAAAGGTTAACTTGAGACTTTCTAACCTAAAAATACCACAACTGATAAAAATATTTACCACTGCACTCAACGCAGCGCTCCTAACATACGGTTTCGTATGCCTAGTCTTCAGCAACGTCTGATACACCAAATTTTTATGCAGAGAGTCGTCGGGAATGGCGCTAGCGAATGCTGCGATACAAGGCACGACTAAATCATTAGCTCTCTTCACGTATTCCTCCTTAGAACCCATAGTGTTCTCGAGCTGGTCCACAAGCGGTTGTGCGAGGACGTCGAACCTTTCTTGATTCACAAAATTGTGCGCATCGTAGCTGAACACTCGATAAAGCGTCAGCATCACAGCTTCTACTAATTCGATTTGGTTGGACTCTACAGGAAGAGTCATTTCTTGGGGTTCTTCGTTGATGGCTGGATTGTTGCTGATCAGTAATAATGCGGCATGCTTCAGGAAGTGACCAGCAAAGAGCACGAAGAGTGACTTCAGACACTCGGCTATGTTGGCTGACAGTCTGCAAAAGGATCAAGTTTTAATTTACTCTTTTGGGATTTCTGAAGACAAGTAGAAAGAACAAACCTATAGAAAGTAATGCTTCGCAGTTTGAACTGCGGGTTCCTAGCGGCCCAGTCGTACAGCTTATAATACAAGGGCCTAAAGGTAGCCTCGCTCAGTTTCAACACCAACGCAACTATAGCTTTGCTAGCACTTTCCTCTACCATCATAATATCCTTCATCGTCAATTCCGACCCATCCACCTCCATGTCATCAGACTCAGAAATATCCTCCCTGAACTGCAGGACTTTCAGGAAGAAGTTACCCAAATCGGGTATGGCAGTAGACAGATCAGCAGGTTGCACGCTGTTGAATGATTCTGCTAACACGGTCATAAGAGCTGGTATACACTTGTACGTCTTCTTCGTCAGTAACGTCACATAGGTCCTATTTACTGCTGGAAGCAGAACTCGAAGAGGTATGCAGCTGGATAGCTTCTGGGTCGTCGCGTTCAAACGTGACACCACGGTTCCAATCTGTAAAGATAAGAACTGTGTTAAACCTGGACCTGACCTTGAAGAGATCTTCCGTTATACCTTCGGATGTTCCGTATCTGTGTACAGAGAGTTCAACCTGGCCAATTCAAACAGCAACTGGTCCAGATACAGCGACAAGAAGTTGCCTACAGACTCGACTATCTTCTGCAGGGCGCTGACTATGCTGACTACGATCACATCTGGGACGCCTTGATGACAGTGATTCTCCAGCAACTGTAGAATAGCTGGTACAAACTTGTTCAACGAGTGTATCGCGTGGATGCGCATAGAGCTGCATAATTCAGCGACGCAGAGGGCAGCACTGCCCAGCACCGGTCCTTCCCTCGTCCGCAGAAGCTCCGTCGTCATTTCAAGTATCTAAAAGGAAGATAAATGTATTGGTTGTTCTTCTGTACAGTTGATCTGATTAACGTGATTTGACTCACCGGTTTGAACACCGCCGGGTGCTCAGTGGCCAGCAACTTGGCCAGCAGCTTCAGGGTGATCAGCACGGTCTGCTGAATGATCTCCTGCTCTTGCGACTCGAACTTCACTCGAGGCTCTATCATCTTTAGTAGTGACTCTATCAGACCTAGCAACTCAACATGATCGTCCTCGCTGAACTTCCGCTGCTGCAGCCTAGTGTTGAACAGCTCCAGGACCTTCCTCTTGATCGTCGGCAGTTCGTGCTCTATCAGATGCTTGATGCTGAAGAGGAAGACTTCGTTCGGCAGCAAATTGTTGACCAGGTCGAGAACATCGTACAGATGATGCAGTAAAATCTTCCAGTACTTGCCGATCGGTTTGCCCTGGTGTCGGTCGGCGTTCTTCGAGGTGCTCTGTATCAGCAGGACCAGCTCGACGATCAGCTGGTCATAATACGGTTTCGCCTTATCCATTTCACTGGAGTCAAGCTCTGCAACGCGAGTGATGAAGTCGGACGAGGACAACAGCTTGCTCAGGAACTGCACCAGGGTGTACTTGTAGTGCCTCAAGTGTTTGGGGCTGCACTTTTTCAAATCGAGGATATGTCCATACTTGAAAGCCATCGCAGCCTTTCTACCTTCTTCGTCTTCTACGTCCACGGGCAGCTCCCTCATGAACTTCGCCAGCTTCACACAAACCATGACGAGCCTTATAGGTGGGAACTCCTGAGAGACCTGCAGGGCGAACTCCAGTCTCTGTCCATACGTCTTCTGGTTCGATATCTGCATGGTCCTGGACATGACGTGGCTCTCGAAGCTTAACAGATAGTAAAGATGAAAGTGATTATCTAATAGCTGCAAGAGTTTCACGAAGAGAGGAGTCCGCCTGTGTTCAGGGATGTCAGGCAGCGAGACGATGAAGGTCCTCAGCACCTCGCAGGCGTGGGTCTCGTTCTCCGCAGCGTTTATGATGGGCACCACGGTCTCGATGGTCTTGGAGATGATCTGTATAGAGTAAGCATCGTCCTGACGCACAACGGAGCTACCCATGAAGGTGAATATGGGCATGATGGTGTACAAGGCGCAGCGTACATCCACGACCTTCAACAGCTCCACCAGAACTAGCAGCGCGTGGTGATGAGTCTGGGGGTTCCTCGAGGTCCTGATGCACTGGGTGATCAGGTCCACCTGCAACTGGGCGTCTCGTATGGGCAGCTTCTGAACGGTCAGCCGGTGAATCGTGGACAGCAGCAGCTGGTTGGTGTACTCGATGGGGCTTTGCTCCTCGAAGCTGAGGCAGGTCTTCAGCAGGTCGAACAGAACCGGGTAGAGTAGCTCCTCGTGCTCTATGTTGTCCGCCCGTTGCACGAACTCCAACAGAGTCACCCCGCGCTTCCACTCCCGCTTGTTGATGATCGTCGGGTCGGGCAGAGAGCGGATCTGACTGAGTCGCTTCTTCGTCTTCGCCGGCGTGTCTACATAAGCGTTCTTCAGGTTCTTCATGATCTGCAGCTCGTTGACGATCAACTGCGCGTGCACTCTGATCTTCCTGGTGGCCTTGTTGGCCGCGGAGATGACGCTGATCAGGTCGCTGTCGGTGAGGACGTCCACCAGCTTCTCGAGGATCATCTTCTGGAACTTGGAAGACATCTTACCGGCGCTATCAAAGAATACCTCTCCTATCTGCTTCAGTAGGACGGTACTGGCTAAGTGCTGGGCGCCGGACTCTGTGCTTATGACGATATTATGGGCTACTATGCTTTTCTCGAACAGGTCCCACACTTGCGACTCGTTGAGGGCGGCCACGGTCGAGCTGTTGAATCTTTGGAGTATGTTCTTCAACGCGTTCTCCGCTGACGTATTCCTGCAGTCAGCAAGGTTGTGTAGAAGCCGTAGTCCCAAGGGGGCCAACTGCTGGAGTATCGTTGGCCCATTGACGTACACCAGGACATCCAACAGCTGAGACTTCACGTGCAGAGGAGTGCTCGAGTCAATTACCACCTCGAATAACAACTGCTGTGCCCGCTGAAGGTTCTTGCGCAGGTCTGACTTCAGCTGGCCGCTCACGTCAGGGTCAGGCGACAGCAAGACATAGAGGGACAAAGACAACTGATCAGGATCCATGGCTATTTCTGCACTCTTCATCGCCAGCTGCTGCAGCAAAGCTGAAAAGGGGTCCGTCGTCGACTCGATTCTTTGTGTCAGCTTCTCCAGAACATCCAGAGCGGCAACTCTCCACTCGTTATTGTCCCGGGCGAGAGAGATCAGCAAATTTGATACGAATAACTTGTCCTGGAACACCCACTGCATGGAGGTGCACTGGTCCAGCAGCATGCGGGTGATCTTCAGGCAGTGGAAGGACGTCTGGATCTTGACCGGCTTTATATAGAGCTGGGATAGAAAACGGATTAAGTCTACCACCGTGGAGAAGTGCCTCTGGAAGAATATCTGTAGGCACCGAGAGTAGTGCTTGCTCCAGCTCCTGTTGCCTACTCCTTCGAAGAACATCTCCAACAACCTCAAAATCAGATTACTGCGATGCTGATTGTTCTCAAAATCTAGTATGGGATTCGATTTCAGGTCCAGACGTCTGTGAACCATCTCCAGCACATATGTCCCCACCTGCAGAGGCAGCACACCCTGCGTGGTCAGCTCAATGGCAGTCTGTATGTTGTCCCCAGTGATGTTGTTACAGTTCTGCAAAGTCTTCACTTGAGGGAAGTTCTTAATCATCGACGTGGCCATTTCGATCACCTCCATAGCTATCTCGGGCCTCAGCGACCCAACCGGCACCCTGCAAACGGAACCCAGAAGTATCAGGTTGAAGAACATAGAGGCTGCGTCGCCATAAACAATCTGCTGCTTCATGGCGCTCAGTATGTTGGCCGTTGGAGGCAGCAGCTGCCAATTGAGTACATTATGAAATGCTGAAGACGAGATCGCTTCTGCGTCCAGCGATTTACCCAGGTCCTTCTGTACCTGCTGCATGTACGTGTTGTTCTTGGCAAAGTTTGATCTCAGCACCTCCTTAGCTATCTCGACGTCCTCCTTACCGGTTGGGAACAGGAAGGGCAAGGCTGTGAGGAACACGCTGGTGTCGTCTCCAGCCTCGCAGAGTTCTAATAAAATTATCAACGCAGGTTTTGCTAATTTCTTTCTGTGACTGACGTGGCAGGATGACAGCAGCACCTTCAGCTCATCGATCAACACATTTTTAGGTAACAGACTCATCAGGCGTTTCGTGGAGAAAGAAAGCAGAGCCCTGATCACGTCCACATCGCTGTCGGTGAATCTAGCTTGGATAGTATTCGTGATCATCTCTCTAAAGCTTTCAGGAATGTTCACATCGTTCTTCGCTAGGCTCTGTAACGCCATGATCCTCTGCTCCGGGCTGATGTGGATCAAACGGTCGAGGATGCCCACAATCTCCTGCGTGTCTCTAGCACCGAAGTGCCAGGAAGTGAGGAACTGCAATGCTAGCTTCGAATTCTTGTCCGTGTCACTGCGTTTCATGAGACTCTTCAAGTAGTCGTCGAACCGTTCCGGATAGGTCTTCTCCAAACATTGATACAAACGCGTCAGGAAGTTTTTCGCGTCGTTCGATATGTTCGCTGAAAGAAATTCTTTTTCTAATATGTTCCATAAAATCGTGTCCACACCTGTGCTGTCCAGCTTTATTCGCATCAGTATCTCGCTCACCATCGTCTGAACGCGTAACGTTCCGGATGGGTCTTCGAGGACCACGCGGCAACTGGTTTGTAACAACGGTACTATGAACTTTAACTTGTTCATGCTGGGCGACTGAACGTTGATCGCAGTCTCGATGAACCATGGTATCTCTGATAGTCGAATAGCTAGACTCTTTGAAACTGTGTTGAGACGATTGACTGGAGCATTGTATAAAAAGAACAGCAAGACTATTGCTTCCTCTTTCATGTGTGTCTTCTTGAAAATTTTCAACAGCAACTTCTCTGTAATGTCATCGTTCAGTTTCACTTTGGTTACCAATTTAGCTAGGATCATGTAACTGCTGGCTGCCAAATCGGGAACTGGAGACTCAAAGCTCTTCACAATAGTTGGTAACATCTGATTCAGCTGATTTTCTGAGACAACGGGTAGTTGATCAATAACTCCTAACACAGAGGTGGCATAAAATGCATACAGGGTACTTAAACGTGATGCTTCGTCACCATATACTCTTGTGGCAACAGTCACATGGTTGCATACTAGCTTTAAAAGATAATTATCAGAACCTAAACGATTGATTAAAGTTATTGAAGCTAATGGTACGGCTCGTTTTTGAAGGGGTCTCAACCAATACCATTTATCATTTTCATCTGACACATCTAATAACTGTAATGCTCTGGCAAACATTCTGGTTTCGTGATAAGGTAAAATTAAAAGTAAAAATTGGTCCTTGTTGAAGGCATGTATACGAAATCTGTATATCAACCATTCCAGTGCCTTATGTGCAACGTTGAGCAGAAAGTAAGGTGACAGAAGAATTAAAAACTTCTGAATCTCGTCATCTAACTTTTTGTTCACTTTCTTATCCTGTACGGAACGTTCAAGGTTCAATGAACTCTCTGCAAAAAGTGTTTTCTCAAAGTCCAAAAAAGAACCTGATAACTTGGCCAATTCTTGTAATCCATTTTGACCTAAGCAGACAAAAATTTAATTGTTATATAAAATAAAAACATTAAGTGGTTAAGTGATCAATTCTTTACCAATATTTAGAACAGTCTCCCTGTCTAAATTAGCTGCTTCTTTCTGATCAAATAGCAAGCTAGCACGTTTTTTGTCTTGCAATAATATTTCTGTCTGTGGTGTTCTTAATTTCTTCAATTGTTCCGCAAGTGACGTAGCCATCTTAAAATTATAATTAAATCAATTAACCTCAAAAAGGATTAGTTCACAATTTTGAAAGACATGTACCATGAAAATAATATTGTAAATCGAATATAACCTCACTTTTATGCCTTATGTTATTTTCTGTTGAATCGGCTTAGTCCTACGTCGCCACTAGGCGGCGTACAATAACCAGTAGTTAGTAGCAAATCCCGAAGGAAGCATTCTCTGGTGAAAATTAAAAACGAACACTTTGAAAAGGTCATCATGGGTAATATCACAATGCACGTTCCTTATATAACTGACTGTTGTGTTAATTTATTAATTATACACATTCCAATATTTATTTTATGTATATACGTGTATTTCAAACATCGAATCACAGATCATCAAATGTTCTAAATGATCTATATGATTGAAGATAGCGTTAAGCGCGCCATTTTTAAATTTGAAGTCCAATAAAACATAATATTCGATTTTATAGTAAGAAAATATATTAATAAATTCATATTACAGGCAATGATGTATTAAATACGTAAAAAAATAAAACATCTGAACGAATCTTCGTTTAAAACGATTAAATATCGAGTTACAATGTCTACGAATTAAATAACGTAAGTAAAAATAACATTTAATCCTTTGGCAGACTAAGTCTTGGTTTCCTAGCAATTCCTGTGTTTATTTTCGAAGGTTGCATGGTGTTTACTTTAACGGGTATGGACTTTGATATTTTTGTAGGTGGTTTGATCAATGAAACACGTCCGTTGGGTGTTCCGGAAGTTGCGGAAGCACTTTTTCTTGGTTCCGGTGATGCAACCCCTTTTTTCGTCAACGTAACTCTACAAATAAAAGGCAATTTTTATATTTAAATACTACAGCATGCTTCTGTATGCAAAATGATAATGTATGCACCTGTTTGAAATTTCAGATTCAATAGCGTTGCTGGTTTTAGAAGTACTATACCTCCCAATGCCCAACAATTTCTGTTTGGTTTCCGATTTCGATAGCGCTGCAATATTAGAATTAGCTGGCGAAGGAATATAAAAACTACTACGTCGAATCGTGAGTTTTGAGTTGTCTTCATTTTTTCTTGACAGAGACTTAGACAGTATTGGTTCGATACTGCGTCGTGCTTTCGGTACTTGTGTCGCATTTCTCGAAAGCGCTTTCGTTATCAATTGTTCATGCGTCAAATTAGTTTGTTTCGGCTTCAAACAATCGATTATATTTGTTCCAGATGATTTATAAGGGCTGATCACAGAAGTTGGCGATATGGCTGCCGGTGCTGATTTCACGGACACACTATCCTGATCTAATGCTAAAACAATCGGATTTTAACCAACCTAACCTAACTTATAACAAAATGTTACAAAAAAATGTCTAAATACCTTGACTAGGTGATACGTCGTTTAAAATCGTTGGTTTCTTGAATAATAACATTTTAAGCGCTTTCTCCAAATTCTGCTGTGCTCCTATAATGTATTCCGTTATATTTTTGGAATTGTCAATATCGCTTTGTAAAGATATTTGCCCTAACGAATTAGATAATTCAGGGACTGTAACTGGAGAACTTGTAAGTTTCGGGGGCGATGGTCGTGGTTCTTCGTCCGCATTTTGAGTTTCAATATCAATATCCCATGTTCTTTGACGCTGTAACGTCGTCTTCTTTGGACTTATCGGGGACACAGTTCGTATTTGTGGTATCTCGAAATTCGTCTTCTCATGATTTTCAGGAGGACACTGTAAAAAATTTAATCTGATGATATTAATAGATCTTAAGTCGTTAATTGGTCTTCATTATTTAAAACCTCTCTATTGCATGTAATTTATGTGTAAAAATTTATAAACTTTCAAACTACTAAATTTCCGGATCACCGAAAATTTTTACGACCTCGCTATATCGCGCGAATAATAAAAATATGCTCGCCTTCGTTTGATATGGCAAGATTTTAAATTATTAATTTAGTCTTCATTGTTCAAACCTCTCTATTGCATGTAATTTATGTGTAAAAATTTATAAACTTTCAAACTACTAAATTTCCGGATCACCGAAAATTTTTACGACCTCGCTATATCGCGCGAATAACAGAAATGTGCTCACCTTTGAATTTAAACTATCCGCTCGGAGACGCATTTCCGGTTGCGTATTGCTTCGCATAACTCCAACTTCTTGTTTCGGAATATTCTGCCCGGATTTGTACTCGTAGGATACATTATTTGAACGCGATGCACTTATGCTTATATTCGTGTTACGATTCACATCCGGTTCGCACACAATTGTATCAAATAATTTATACGATACATCGCGCAAAACTCGAGCAACGTCTTTTGTTAGAGGGGGTAGCAGGGTACTTCCAGTCTCCTCCACTTTTTGTGCGATATTGTCCTGAAATAAATATTTCTTAACGTATTTTATGTAAAATTAAATAAAAATTATTATTTACAGTGCTTGCGGTAGGTCCAGTGCCGCTTATGCTCCAGAAAGATGCGTCCTTAATGTGATCAGGATTAGGGCACCGACACGTGATCCCTTCTAATTTCAACATTGCTCTCATGTTTGAAGTACCGCATTCAATCGTTACTTTGAGAGCTCCTTGTTCAAATGCCGAGGCATTATTTTCACTCTTCTGAGAAAATACATCGTTGTGCTTTTCGAACGAAAGAAGTTTAAAACCGATTGTTTGCAGGAAACTAGCGAGTACTGGTACATCTGGCTTTGCCGACTGTTGAATGTCGCGTATTTCATCGTCATTCGATGCAACACCGTTTATCCATTTAAGCACCCACTGATAAAACTTTCGCTGTGCAACGGATTGAACATTTTGATGGCCGTGAGAACACGTGCTAGTATCCATCTCGATGACACATAAACTGAACAGGGGCAAGAAACTGTTCCCGAATTTGTATTCAAATTTTTTTGCATGGATAACCGAAGTCGTTTGTAAGAAATATACGTGTTGATACCGAACGTTTTTACGTCGAGACACTAAAACATGTTACGAGTAATAACAATTTGTGTTTCACTATTTTTGTTAGATTGACTTTTTACTATGCGAATATCAATACAAAATTTGATATCATTCGACCGGCATACGAAGAATATAATTATTGTAAAAGCAGATATAGAACATAGACGCTATATCAGGATTATATAAATATTATCTCAAAATACTAAAGTATTGTTTTTATTATTTTTATTTTACTATTTATCAATATTTCAGGTTTCTGATATTTATAGGCAATATTAAAATATTGAGAATATTATATTGATAATCTATATTGCCATTAAGGATGCAATATATATTTACATTAGTACAATTAATTGTCCGAAATCTCCAAAGATATGATCTACACATGTAGATGCATTCGTGTGTGGAATACTTTATAAAGCATGCGCACGTGTGCTTGTACGTAATTACAGCATACATGCTTTGTGGTTCTACCTTTTATTTAGAATAACATTCAACAATTTAAAAAAACAGGGGAACATTGCGTATTCGGGTATTAATAACATTGTTTTCTAAAGCATTTAATCATAATTGTGCAACTATGTCAAAAATATATTGAAATAATAAATGTCACTTTCTTTCTTAATTATATGTTATATAAAAATTCTAGTTCTTATAAGGATTAGGTAGTAGTGTATTATGATATGAATTATTATTTAAAATTCTGTAAAAATGTTTTCTGTATATTTAACTATGTTAGGTTATATTTAAATTTTAGTAAATTATGTCTGTTTCTATTTTCTTCATCATTAATTATGCTTTATTTTGAGCTAATTTTGATATCCTTTTTTCAATTTATATTATAAAATTTATAAATGATGTAACTTTATTTCAGAGTTTGCGAAGAATAAAATAAAATAAAAAATGAGTTTTAGAGTTTTAGTAGTAAGTACTGTAATTTCAGCAAAAATATTACCGAATACTATTTTCTTAGATAAATATAGAAAACTTAGAGCTACATATAGGTAAGTATTTAAATATATTGATGTATTACATATTATCTAATTTCATGTAATATAAATGTATTAATTTTATTGAATTTTGGGAACAGGTTTGATGGAACTGAACGGCCAATTTCCAAATCATTGATGCAAAGATTTTATGACGTTTTGAATGATTTAAATGTATCAGCAATGATAAGAACACGAATTAAAGTATTCAGTGTTCATGATATAAGTACATTTCATGCTGGAACAACAATGTCATCTTATGGTGGATTAATTGGAATCCCACCAAACTATGAGTACGAAAATGTTGAGGATGCAAGCGTAGGTCAAATAGAGATAGAAAATAAAAATAGTACATGGTCTGAAGAAACTAGAGAGAAATTTTTAGAATGTTTAGTACTCTCAGAAAATGCTCAAAAGTTTGCGATAGCTCGAGAAGTCTTAAACGTGCAACGACCAGAAATTTGGGTTGAAACATTTATTACAGGCATGGATTGCTTCATTATGTTTATGATATATGACGCAATTTATAAGACAGGAAATTTTGCTAAGAAGTCAAGGATGGCTAAATTAGGACTTCAGGTTTGGTTGGGTCTAGTGACTCTTTTTATGTGTTTGATGACAAAACAGGCACTAGAATATCATGCTGATGGAGAAATTACAGAAGAGTTGGCCAAATTAGGGCCTGAATATATTCAAGGTGGTAAAGAATTTTATGAGAAATTATGTGAACTACAGGACATCAAGAATAAAACTAGTGCAGGATATTTCAAACAACAGTGGATGAGAAACAAATATTTAAATGATGCTAATCAAAAAGAGTTCTTGACTTTAAAATTACAAGAGTTGGAAAACGTTACAATGTAATATGTTTTAATTATACTGAATAAATTTAGTACTGAAATTATAGCATTTTTAAATTAATATTATTTATTAAAACATTAATTGTACAATTTGTATGTATTATAAAATATATATATGCATAATTATATGCCTTATACAATTTTTCGACTTTTATAATAGTTTTAAATAAAACTACTACATAAAAAATACAGAAAGGAAGAAATTTATCAATTAATGGCAACTTTTGTAACAATAAATGTTTATTCTATTAATTAATTTATAAATAGTTATAAAAGTTAATATTAACATACCATGTTTATAGATGAACAGTTCTTATTTATCCTTATATGGTAGATTACATATACTAGAAAGCAAAACAATTATATCTAATAATGAACCTTTGAGTAATTGTGCAAAATTTACATTGAGTATCTTCTACATATAACATACTTGTTATTTTGGTGGAGTAATGTCCACCGTTTTAATATGTATACCTCATAAATAAATACAAAATGCTTATAACCTAATATGCAAAAGTACTTACATTTTTTATATTATATACACGACTTTTCACTATGTGAGACCCAAAGAACCAAGCTAAAATATTAAGAAATTAGGATTAAAGTATTCACAATTATAGCATATATATTTACCAAACTTTTTACCAATGTCATTTTGTCTTCTTCTTTTTTAAGTATTTTTGCCGTTTGTTCTTGATCAAACTTGACGACTGCAGCGATTACTCTAGCAAGCACCATTGTTTCTCTTCCCATCATATATTCAAATAAAATATTTCTAAGGTATTCAATTTCTGTGGAATCTTCTAATGTATCATGCCTTAATTTCACTAATTTTCTAAGTTCAGCTAATTCTCGTCTCTGAGCCGTTAATGTTTGTTGAAGAGTATGAAAAGAACCTGTATTAGATTGTACAGCAGCCATTGCAACCCGCGAAGTACTCTCTAATTCCTATGGATACATTACATTTTTAAATATCTATTCATATAAATTATTATTATTTAATTATATACACATGCCACAAATACAATAAAAATGTGAGGCAATAAACTTGATAAAATAAAACTTAATAAAATTTAGAATTTACCTTATAAGTTAAATCATTTTGTACATCAGGCTGAAAGAAGTTTAAACATAAATAAAATTAAAAACTAACAAAAAATAAATTAAACTCAATCATTATATTAAATTAAAGTAAATGATAATAATATGATAATGATAAAGAAAATTTGGAAATTAATAAAAAATAGAATTTCAAATAATAATGTATGTAATCAAATATTACTTTACAAAAAATGCAATAACTTTTTTTAACTAACCCTTCTTTCATTTCGCCATTCTCTTGTTAATTCATTAATTTCTTCCTCGTGTTTTGCTTCCAATTTGTCAGTTTTTTGTTGTACAATTGATTTCCATTTTTTTTCAATTTCTCTCATTTCATCTGCATGTTCTTTCTTCATTAACGTAATTTTTTCCATTAACTGATTTATATCTTTGTTTTTTTCTGTTATTAAATTTTTATTTTCCAAAATTAGATTTTCAATTTGTTCAGATTTTGTTGTTAATTCTATTTGGAAATCTTTTAATTGTTCTTTATATTGCTGGATAAGATTTGATTCATAATTTTGTTGCCGGTCTAAATAGAAGTATGATATTATTTATGAGATATCACAACAGTCTATTCTTCTAAATGAGTCATAAAAATAAAACACATAAAAGAAATTTTAATTTACCGAATCGTTTTTCCAGCGCAGCATGTAGTTCCTCCTCTTTATCATGTAACTGAGCTTGAAATTCTTTAACTAATTGCTTTAATCTCATACTTTGCTCTTCTTCATTCGTTTTCAATTCCTCTTTTAGCTTGTCTGCTTGACTTTTCAATTCATTATTCACAATTTGCATTTGCAATTCCTTTGCTTGGAAGGTAATTAATGCTTCATCTAATTGTGCCTCCAATTTCTTATTTTCTTCTTGCAACCTATCACTTTCTTTAATAAAGGAATCATCCATAGTTTTGTTTGCACTCCCATTTTGTACTTTTTCTTGCAATGCAATATTTGTTTTTTTGAGAATTTCTGCTTCTGCGTGCAATCTAACAATTTCATCCTTCATATATTCAATAGTATTTTTAGTTGTGTCTGTTTCTATTATTGCTTCATCTTCCGTTGTTAACAATTTTTTCCCTTCAATTTCTCTTATTAATTCCATATTTCTAGTATCTAATAATTTCAATTCTGCTACTTTTTCATCTACAGTAAGTTTCAATTCATCTAATTCTGCTAATAATTGCTGTTTTTCTACATCTTTATTATTTACTTGAGTTGATAACTCTGTATTCATAGCTTTTAATGTACTAAGTTCAAGTTCCAATTTAGCATTGTTAGACTCTACTTGTTCTAAACTAGAAATCTTAGCTTCTAAGTTATTTACATGCGATTGAAGTTCTACATTGATAGAATTTACATTTTCTAATTCTATAACTTTATTTTTTAAAGACACATACTCATTAGTTAATTCCTTATATTGTAACTGCGTTTTTTCTAAATTAATTTTTGTTTCATTCAAACTATTTATTTCTGATTTTAAATTACTATTTTCTTCGTCAATAGTTTTTAGCCTTGTAAGCTCTTTTTCTAGTAACTCTAGATTTGCCACAAGTTCTTTATTTTTCTCATCTGTACCTTCTCGATTTTTCAAAGCAGCATCTAATTTACATACTTCATTATGTAAATTTTTATTTTCTTTCGTTAAATGTTCTTTCATATCTTCTGCTTCTTTTTTGCATAACCTAAATTCTTCAATCTGTAAATTCAGATTTTCGGTTTTAGATTGCAACTCTGCATTTAATGCTGTAATTTGATCTTTTAGCTTTTGTATATCTTCGTTTTGGCCGTGTAAGCTACTTCTATGTGACTCGATCGCCTTCTCTAATTCTTTATTATTATTTAACAATTCTTCTATACGCTTTTTATAATTTACAATATCTTCTTCTAATTTTTCATTACATTCATGTAATTCTTGGTTACGTTTTAAAAATTCATTTTGCGTACATTTTAGATTTTTATTTTCCAAATCAATTTCATGTTGAACCGATTTTAATTGTTCCAATTCTGAAGTTATAGATGAATTATTATTTTTTAGTGTAATTATTTGATCGTTTTCCGATTTCAATGCACTTATTTCATTCTCTAATGTATTTAATTGTTCTAATAATTTTGTGTTTTCAGTTCTCAAAGTAGTAATCACATCTGGTAATTTTATCAGTTTATTATATTCATCCTTTAATTGTTGTACTGTTTGGGCTTGTTCTTCTTCAATAGCTTTTGACTCTTTCAGCTGAGTTAATTTTGCTTGTACTGTTTTTTGTAATTTTTTGTTATTGTTTGTAAGTTTAGCAACTACTGTTGTATAATTTTCACATTCATTCTTTAAATCGGTTACAACACTTTCTTTATTTTTTAGTTCTTCATTTAAAACATTTATTTGCTTATCTCTTTCAGATATATTTTCATTTAAAACAGTAATTTCTGACTGCAAAGAATTTATTGTATCTTCCAATTTATTACACTTAGAATTTTCAGATTTAAACAGTGATATAGTATTCAAATTTTCTTCTTGCAGTTCTTTATTATTGTTGTTTGATTTCTCAAGTTGCACTTTTAAGTCTGATATTTCGTTAGAAAGCAATTGATTTACAGCGTTAACATTGTTAAGTTCTTCCTTCAAAAATTTAGATTCTACTTTTAACGAGTTCATTTCATCCGATACATTTCTTAAATCATATAATTTAAAATTAAGATTATCTATTTCAGCTATAAGTTTACGATTTTTTACATCAATTTCATTTTGCTGTTCAAGATTTATCGACATTTCTTTTAATTGTTCGTTATATTTTTCCAAGTTTGCTTGCAAGTTAGATTTAATACATATTGTATCTTTCAATTCTGTTTGTAATTCGTCGTATTTTTGTTTAAATTCTTCAAGTTCTTTCAATTTCATTTGTAAATTTTCTGTTTCAACATTCTGTGTCGCATTCTTCTTTTCCAAACATGTATCAAGTACATTTTTCAAACTAAAAATTTCATTAGTAAATTGCATGAAATGTTCCGTTATGTCGCTTTTAATATGCTTATTATCTGCTTTTAATTTTTGGATAGAAATTTTGTAATTTAAAATATTTTTAATTAAATTATTTTTTTCTTCGCGAAGTAAATCAATGTTAGAACTATGGGTTTGAAGTTTATTCTTAAGATCAGAAATTATAGATTTACAAGATTGATGCTCATTACAGGTTTCTAATAATTCACTGATTTTATTTTCTAGCTCGTTTTTCGATTTAATCACGTCTGTAGTTTGTTGCTCTTTTTCTTTAAGGGTTTTTATTTCTACATCTTGAGCTAATAACTTTTCATTAGCTTTTTCAAGCATCAATTTATATTCGTTAACTTTCGCGTTATAATTTTCGCATACCTTATCTCTATCCATTAAAGCACTCCTCATATTTTCTAATTCTTTATCTAGACTTTGCACCGTAGCTTGCAATTTTTCAACCACTGCATCAGCTTCTTTCTTTTTTTCTTCTGCTATGATTTTTTGAGCATCCTGTTCACTTTTAAGTTCTGTGTATTTAAGTTTGTAATCCGAAAGCTCCATACATAATTTATCTTTGTTATTTTGATATTCTTCTGTAAGTTTTTGTAGTTCTCCTAACGTATTTTTCAGTTTCTGCAGTTCGGTTTCCTTTTCGTCAAATTTAGATTTTAAATTTTGATACATTTCATTGTCTTCTATTCTTGTTTCTTCTGTATTTTCTTTGTTAGAATCTCCATTGTGAGGTTTCGCGTCAATTTTATCTTCCAAAGTAACCGATTCTTTCTTTTCTGCGTCTACATTTTGTGTGCTTTGTATCAATTTCAGCTTTTCCAGTTCAGTTTTATATTTATTCACAACTTCATTTAAGCTATCCTTAGACTCTACCATATGTTTCAAATCCAATTGCAATTTTTTTATTTGTTCCTCTTTATCTTCCAATTCTCTGTGTATCGAGAGTTTATTTTCAGCTAACGATATGGCAGACTCTTCTTCGCGCTTCTTTAAAATAATTATCTGATCCGCTAAATTTCTAATTTCTACATGTGCATTATTTAATTCTTTATCTTTTTCTGTACAAGAGCTCTTTAATGCTTCATAATCAGATTCTAATGTATTTTTCTCTGCTAATACTTTAGTGAATTTTTCTTTATTCCGTTTTAAAGATTCCTTATATTTAAAAACAAGATTTTCTATCTTTTTCAGTTTATCTTTCAATTGTGTATTTTCCATTAACAAAGAATTTTCAGTAGAATTTTCCAACGAATCAGTGTTTAAATCAATTAGATTATCCTTTACATTTTCTGTGTTTCCTTTATCTTCGTTTGTAGCACCTGACATTATAACATCCAAGTTTGGTCCATTAGTTTGCAGAAGCTTGATCTGTAATAGAATTAAAATGAAAATTAGTGATGTATTCGTAATAGTATTTTTTATCATTACCTTTGTATTTAATGTATTTATTATATGATCCTTTTCTTCAATATCATTTCTTAGTGCTTCTTCTAAATGAGCCTTTGCCTGTTGTTCTAGTTGACATTGTTCTTTTAGATCTGCAATTCGTCTCAATACTTTGTCCTGTGTTTCAACTAAAACTGATTCTAACTTGCCTTTCACTCTTTCTAATTCTCGATAATGTGTTGCTAAATCAGTGTATCTTCCACGATATTTATGATATTTTGCTTGTACTTTTCGATATGCCGAATATATTTGATCTTTCGTAACTTTATCCAATTGTGAACTTATATTTTCTTCTATTTCACTCGCAGATTGATCCATATCAGACTACAGAAAAAATAAATGTTCATTTGTAAGAAGAAATTAAAGGATTAATTAATTTTAATTAAATATCTCACTTGCAAATGATATAAATTAGCAGGACTTTCATAAATTGGAAAAAGAGATGAGGTATCACTAGTCACACTATTAAGTGATGATCTCCTAGAAATGCCTATTGAATTTGGTGTGGGTGACATTAAATCTACATTTTGAAAACCATGTTTAGCAGGACTGTTTTTTGGAGTTTCTGTAAATGAACATTTTGAATAGTTATGATAACATAATTTCTGATATATAAAATGTTAAAACTTACCATCTCCTTCCTCCGTCAAACTAAAATTGTCATTTGATGCAGATAGTTCTTGTATCGAGCTAGTGGACAATGCTGGTGACACAACTGCCTGTGTTAAATTAATTTATAAATATATAACATGTACTTTATATTCAATAATTGATTATCATTAATTAACTGAACAACTAAAGCGCGCACATTAATTTAAAATTAAATAACAATATCAGTCTAAATTTTCAATTCATTATAATAATTCATTTTTTAACAGTGAATGAAATGTCAAACCTGTGCTAATTGCTGCATGCTTGCTTGCAGCCTGGCAGGTGATTGTTTCATTTCTTCTGCAAGTTTGTCCTTAAATTTTTTAAACATTTTGGCGAAACGTTCTGTTACTGTATTATTTTTATTGAATTATATGAATTTACATAAATATATCTAAATAGAATTAGGTTGGAATTGCAGACGATAATCGTCGAAATTGAAATACAGGAAAAGTGTCATTTTACAACGTCAAAGAGGTGCTGTCAAAAATATTTATAAATCATTGATTATTAAACACGATACTTTAATTTGTATTGTAATAAGCTTTTAGTTCAACAATAAGATTTTAACGTAAAAACCATGTATACGTAGGCACAGTTATTGCCATCGATACTGATGTTAGTAGATGGTTACCACATATGAATAAACTGAACTGTCAGAAATTGTTCCAAAAAGAATATTTGCAAATATCGTTCACTTCATATTTTTATAATTATATATAACTTTATTCTTTCATCTGTATATTTCAATTTGACAATTGTTGATGAAAAATATATTTTCATTCATAAAAAAGATAGAATCGATTCCACATAGGGTATCCATACTATATAGAAGATAAGATTTGCATGTATAGTACAATACAAACATAATTTGGTATAGTTTTCGTACGAAGTAGTGCATCGCTACTTAAATTCTTTGATTAGAATTAAACGTACTAATTTTGCAACGATAATTTTATTTTCAATGATTTGATTAAACGAAGAAATATTTTTATTTTTATAGAAATGGTATGTCATTTATAAATCTAATATAAATCTGTGCTAATTAAATAACCTCTTTTGATAGGTTTATAAATAACACATTTATTTCAACTTATAATAATTCCTGTAAATTTATTTTGAAATAGAATAATTCTACAGTATTTTCACTCTTTAATTACACCTTCTGTTCAAATTTGTTTTGTTAGTTTACGTACAATAAAATTGATCAAAAGCATGCTCATAAAGTAATTTTCATTTTCTCAACTTACATCTTTCAGTACCAATAGTTTATAACTTTAAATCTTTAAAACTTCATTTAACTTTATATTGCAATATGTTATAGGCTTCGAACGATGGGATTCCTCCACCTGCAGCAGTACCTGGGTTTCCACCCGCAGCTCCAAATATTGCTTCTAGTTTTGTACCACCAATTATGCCCACTGCACCTTTCATACCTCCTCCAAGTTTACCACCTGGTCCACCAGGAATAATGCCACCACAATTTTCCATACCTCCACCTGGTTTTAGTTTTCCAATTACTGCTGCTCCTCCTCCTGATACCGGAGTAATAGGTTTGTACCTTTACGTATAAAATGTCTGTAAATTGTTGGGTTAAAATATTTATTTAAAATTTCTTCAATATTTCAGCGGCACCTCCTCAAATAACAGCACCAGGTATTCCTCCTCCGGCACCTCTTGCAAGTGAAACTGCATCAACCGTACCACCTATTGCCACAACAGAGAAAAAGACTGATTGGACCGAACATAAAGCCCCTGATGGCAGAACATATTATTACAATAGTGTTACAAAACAATCATTGTGGGAGAAACCAGATGAACTAAAAACACCTAGTGAATTGCTTTTATCGCAATGTCCGTGGAAAGAATATAAGTCAGAGAATGGAAAAGTGTACTATCATAACGTAACAACTAAGGAATCAAGGTGGACTATCCCTACAGAATTAGAAGAATTGAAAGCAAGAATTGCAGCCGAAGAAGTAGCAGCAGCGGCTGCGGCAGTTGTAGCAAGCGCTACAAATACGTTAGTAAAACATAGAGATTATAAACAACTATACGAAGGAGAAAATAGAGATTATGAAGATAATTACGAATATCTTGATCTTTCAGTATAGTTCCTGTTGGCATGCAACATTTATCTCCAAATATTCCAATTACAAATACATCTCAAACTAGTACACCAGAACCAGGTGGAAAGTCTGCGATTGAACAAGCTATGGCTGCAACGCTTGCGGCGATAAACATTCCTACTCCACCGGCAAAACCAGATGAAGATAGTAATTCTGCAAAAGGATCAGCAAACGATAGTCGTACTAGCACTCCTGAACCAAAAATGCAATTTAAAGATAAAAAAGAGGCTATTGAAGCGTTTAAAGAGTTATTAAGAGAAAGGGATGTACCATCGAATGCTACATGGGAACAGGCAGTGAAATTAATACAAAGCGATCCTAGATATCCACAAATGAAAAGATTGAATGAACGTAAACAAGCATTCAATGCATATAAAACACAGAAACTTAAAGAAGAACGTGAACATGAACGTTTAAGGTAAGTAATTTTGTATAACTTCATACAGTGTATAAAAAATTGACAAATCTATTTTGTCAAAATAGATTAAAGAAAGCTAAGGAAGATCTGGAGCAATTTTTATTAGAGAACGATAGAATGACAAGCACAACAAAGTATTACAAATGCGAAGAAATGTTTGGCAACTTGGAAGTATGGAGATCTGTAGGAGACTCAGATCGCCGTGATATTTATGAGGATGTTATTTTTAATTTGGCTAAACGCGAAAAAGAAGAAGCAAAGCAATTGAAGAAAAGAAATACCAAGAGACTAGCTCAAGTTTTGGATACTATGACTGATGTTACATACAGAACCACTTGGCAAGAAGCGCAAGCATTACTTTTACAACATGCAGCGTTTGCGGAAGATGCAGATTTATTGGAAATGGATAAAGAAGATGCCTTACTTGTATTCGAAAATCATATACGTCAATTAGAAAAAGATGAAGAAGAAGAGAAGGAACACGAGAAGAAACGTAGGAAACGACAAGAAAGGAAAAATAGGGATGCATTTATAGTAGGTTTAATAACATTTTTAGCCTTTACATTATTTTTTATAAATAGTTATTTAAACGATGATAATTATTTTTCAGAGTTTACTCGATGAACTTCACGAACAAGGAAAATTAACATCAATGTCACTTTGGGTAGAACTTTATCCAATGTTATCCGCCGATTTGAGATTTTCAGCAATGCTTGGACAATCTGGATCGACTCCGTTGGATCTTTTCAAATTTTACGTTGAGGACCTAAAATCCAGATTTCATGATGAAAAGAAGATCATAAGAGAGATCCTGAAAGACAAAAACTTTGAGGTGCAAGTTAACACCACTTTCGAAGAATTTGCAACTGTAGTATGCGAAGATAGGAAATCTGCAACGTTAGATGCCGGCAACGTAAAATTAACCTATAATTTGCTACTCGAAAAAGCTGAAGCGCGTGAAAAAGAACGCGTAAAAGAAGAAACCAGGAAATTTAAAAAATTAGAAACTGGTTTCAAGAATTTGTTGAAAACTCTTAATGTTGATTATCAAATGACATGGGAAGATGTTAGAAGTAAAATCGAGGAGGAACCAGACTTCAAAGCGATTACGTTAGAAAGTGAAAGAGTTAGGATCTTTAAAGAATACCAACATGAACTCGAAGAGAGTTGCAGTCATCATCATATCAGGAGTAAAAAGAAAAAGACGAAGAAGGTGAAACGAAAATCAAGGTCCCGGTCACACAGTGTAAGTATATTACGTGATATGATAAATTCAAGTATGATAAATAATTAACCTTCATTTTCAGGAGTCTGAAGGTAGCGATAAAGGATTAAAAAAGAAACGACATAAATCACGGTCACCAAGTGTTCCAAGCAAATCTGATAGTTCTGAATCTGATACTAGAAAGTCGAAAAGGAAGAAAAGTAAAAAGAAGAGAGGTCGTAGTCATTCTGTAAGTATAATTAATCATAAACCAGATATAATTTTTAATTTATAATAATTATTAAATAATAATTATTATACAGCGATCACATTCGAGACTCCCGTCTTCCGAAGAATCGCCAGAAAGAAAACGGAAAGAGGAGAAGCACAGGAGAGCTTCTGCTCACAGTGAAGGATCTGTTACCGAAAATGCCGAACATCATGAACTTTCAGAAGATGAGTTAGAAAAACAGAGAGCGCAATTATTACGCGAATTACAAATGCAACAGGAAGATAATTAAAATCAGTTTACTTGCTGAAGATGATATGTAATTTTAGATAATTGCAATATTAAATTAATCTTTGTACAAAATTTAATTATTTCCTTATTTATGTTCAGTATAATTTCTTTAAACATGTTCTAATTTTAGTCAACAGGAAGATGCAGAACTACAAGAATTAAAACATAATGAAAATATTTCTAGATTCTCTAGTTTACAACTTAGAAATTGCAGCTTATTTTGGTAAATAGTATAATTTATACAATTACAGAATGGTGAAAGTTTGAAATTTAAAAATTATTAATTTTTTTAAAGGGGAATAATTATATTATTTAAATCAATTCATTTGTAAAAATTTATAATACTTGATGTTTTAATAATTTCATGTATAACTATTACGAAACAATTCCAGATTACATAATTGTTTTGGATTAAATATTTAATAAGTCTTACTACTTCTTTATATTCAAATCATTTCTTATCTTATTATTACATCTTCATCAGCGATTTATATAGTTAACACCTTTACACTGCTGTATTTAGTTCTTATGGGACCCGAGGCACTTCGAAACGTATTCCTAAATTATTAAATTTTTATATCTTTCTATTCCTAAATTGCTCATACATAGATACATACATTCCTATACTTATAAGTTACTATAGTTTCAGACCCTACGTCCCTAGATTCCTATATTTCTGTATTTCCAGATTATCCATGCTTTCAGATCATTGTATCTCTCTATTTTTATATTCTTCTTACCTACATAAAATTCGTAGGTCTCAATATCTCAAAAATTTCCATAACTTCAATTCCTCACATTTCGATATTTCTAGATCTTTACATATCCCTAGATCCTTATCCTGTATCTCCGTGGTTTTAGATTCTTACCTTCCTACAATTTTCAATTCCCAGATTTCTGTGTACAAATTATATTTTATGTAGAAGGTATTATATTAAATTTATTACATAATATAAAAACGTACAGCCATGTGAAGGTTCTCACCGCTGCATCATTTTCCACGGAACCTTGTTACGGCCCTGTTTCATAGTCGAATTGACGAAGGGTGGGGAATACACGGGGGAAGGTTTCGCTTACTACATATTTGCTCGATGGTAGCCGATGGTAGCCACTGTCGACTTTTGTAGTTTCAACAATCCACTACTTTGGCTTGACACTGCGTCAACTGTTTCCGGCTAAAAGTTCATTGACAACTTGACAGTATCTGTAACGACAGTGAAGGTGTTCATGCGAAGAGTAACAAAAGGAAGGGAATAAAAAAAAAAGCAAAACAATGTTGAGTCTTTGCCGTCAAGCGTTAATATCTAACAGTCAAAAGTGAGTATAAAATTGTGAAAATTTCCGATGGAACACGTGTCAACGTGAAATACGAGTTCGGCTTTCAACATTCTATCGTGTGTAGCTTAAATCTTACCAAAGTATATTGATTATTTTCGCGCATTGACACATGCACCGTGTAACAACGTCCGCACTTAGACGAAGGGCGCGCGCGCGTGTGTATGTGTGTGTATATATGTGTTGTCAGCTTTATTGGTGTGTCGGTGGTCCTCCGATTCATTTTCTTTCTCCAACCTTCGCTAGCCGCATCGTACTTCCTTCTCTACGAAAAGGATAGGCCACTTTGCCAGTTCCGATGGAACTTTCCACTGTAAAACGGATGGGAAAGGTGTTTGATAGTTCACCGACCATCGTTTTTGACAGTATATTCCCGTTCGTCATGTTATCTCTCTTCTGCAGATTTTCGTATAATTACACTTTCGTTGAAAATACATTTGTTTTCTTTACTTGTCCTACTTTCGATATTACTCACTACAATTGTGTAAATTGATATACCAGAGAACACAAAGTTTTTTCGCATGCATATCAATGTCACATGTTTACTTTTAATATCACTATTTTTATCGAAGATATCGGATCGCAATTATATGAGCCGTTTATTTTGAAAGTGGTATAAGCCACTTTTATTCCTATTTTGAGGTGTCCATTAAACGATTTGCAATGTAACTAAAAATATGATTGCCATGGAGGAATCATCTTATTTTTAGGATAAATCATTTTGTACGGGTGATTCGCCATTTTTTTATCACCGTAAAGTAGGTCTAGGCTAATTTCAGAATTGTTTAGGGAAAATTTAGTCCCGCGTTGATTTCGCTTAATGTCTCATTGATGTTTGACAAGATAGTTAATTAAAATGACATAAGTATAAATAAATTATTCATTTAACATATATAAGTAATTTTTTTGTAACAATGACAGGAAAATACTTCATATAGTCCGTTAAAATATTCAGTCATTATTCATAAAAGAAACGAAAGGTTACGCAAAAGTTTTACAAAATTCTTCTAAAAATACTCCGCAAATTTATACAAAAAAGGATGGTGAATAGAATAGTTAGAAAAATTGAACGGTCAAAGATATAAACCGCACAGTTTTGTAACTATAAATAGCCTGATATTTTTTTCGAAAAAGTACAGGGATATATTATTTTTGAAACAAACAACTCATACCGACGTTAATTTAACCAATCACTACTTTTGTCCTCACCGCACATGTCCTTGAAATATGATAATTTTACAGTTTATACATATGCATCGTCCTTAGACTTGCCGCGATTGTACATGTAAAACGACACGTTCGAATTATGATGGCCCCAATATTTGACAATCGATACACGTTTCGATTCTTTTATAAGCCTTCGATTTATTCACTTGCTACTGTAACCGCCGATGTAAAGAAACAATTATGAAAGAAGAAACGAATATTTACATCCGTACATTATTGTAAATAATCATTTCTCGAACCCGAAAACATACTGACTAGTTGAAACTGGAGTATCTTCGAATTGATTCATACATTTTATGGGTTTATCTAATCGGCATTTCTGTTAAACTAATTCGTTGCCGTAATTGTTATCGATTTTATTTCTTCTAATTAATAACAGCGATAACCGCAATAACATGGGCCACCGAGATTATGTTACATAATATCTGACTATGGTGTGTTTGTTTGACACGTGTACACAAGTTTAAAATAACGTCTTTCCTTCCTTAAAATAATTTCCGTTCTCTTTTCATTTATATAACGCACAACATTTTTTAGCATCGATTTTGAAATCGCGAATCATGTATTTTTCGTTCCTGTAATATATTAATAAAAATTCCATTTTTTTTATTAATTGTAAATCTATGTGATTATCACTGTCATTATTGTGTATAATAATAAAATTATAATAGACAATTAATTGAATTTTATCAAAAATACCAGTGTTATAATTAACTGAATATAAATATATGCCTATCTTATTTTTGTGATAAGAAACTGGTTGTAAGAGCGCATCTGTTGAAGCCCAACATCTCAAGTCAAAGATAACATTGATTTAGCTGTTAATACAGGGTACACAAATAAACATTTGCAGATGATACTGGGACAAGTCTTAAAAGTCAATATTTGTTTTGTCTAATCTTATTGTCACAATAAATGTCAACATAAATCTGGACCCCACAGGCAGAATTTAAGATCACTTTTTAAAAAAAAACTTATATTTTGCACGACAAATGAAAGCACAATTAAAATAATCACGTATGGAATATGTTAATGTCATCAAAATATTTCAAATAAAACATATTTTGTATTTCTGTAAACAGAGTTGGTACGAGATGTTTAGGATCAATAGTACCAGTACCGAATCCCCCTGAATTTCCCCTGGAAAATGAGCCTGTTCTTAGCTACAAGAAAGGTAGCCCAGAGAGGGCAGAACTGGAGAAAGTCTTGGAAAAAATGTCCAATGAGTGCGAGGAAGTGCCATTGGTCATTGGAAACGAGGAAATTAAATCTGACTTGTGTAGATATCAAGTTATGGTAAGTTAAATATAGTAATAAATTGTAGAAAGATGTCAGTGATTATAATGGCAGCAATTTGCAGCCACACAACCATGAGGTAAAAATTGCAAAGTATTATTGGGCCACACCTGATTTAGTTAAGAAGGCAATAGATGTTGCTGTAAAGGCTCAACGTGAATGGGAGAAATGTCCAATAGAACAGCGTTTAGAAATTTGGTTGAGAGCAGCTGACCTAATGTCAAAAAAGTATAGGCAACAGTTGAATGCTTCTACAATGCTTGGTCAGAGTAAAACAGTTATTCAAGCAGAGATCGACAGTGCTGCAGAATTAATTGATTTCTTTAAAATGCACGGATATTTTGCTAAAGAGGCCTTAAGATACAAACCAATCTCACCTAATACTAAGGAGACATTAAATTCAATGAGGTATAGGGGCATGGATGGTTTTGTTGCAGCTGTATCACCATTTAATTTTACTGCCATTGGTGGTAACCTTGGTTACACACCAGCTTTAATGGTTTGTATCTTCTTTTACTGATTCAATTAAATTCACTTTACAAATAGAAATGTTTTGCATCAAATGTTTTTAGGGTAATTCAGTTCTTTGGAAACCATCCGACACAGCTTTACTTTCTAACTGGTGGATATTCAAGATATGCAAAGAAGCCGGTGTGCCACCAGGTGTAGTTAATTTTGTGCCATGCGAAGGTCCTGTTTTTGGTGATACTATTACTAGTTCACCTTACTTGGCTGGAATTAACTTTACTGGATCAGTTCCAACGTTTAATCGTTTGTGGATGCAAGTTGGTAAAAATCTGGGAAAATACAAGAATTATCCCAAACTAATAGGCGAATGTGGAGGAAAAAATTATCATTTTGTACATGCAAGTGCCGATGTGGAATCAGTTGTTAATGGAACCATCAGAAGTTCCTTTGAATTTAATGGTCAGAAATGTTCAGCCTGCAGTAGGATGTACGTTCCAGAATCATTGTGGCCTAAGGTATATTTTTTATAAAAGAACGAATACACGTTTTTAAATGAAATTTTAACAGAAAATTATTGTTGTGTGCAGGTAAAAGAAGGTCTTTTATCGCTTCGTGACAAACTCAAGATTGGTGATGTTAGAGATTTTACTGTGTTCACTGGAGCAGTCATAGACGCTGTCGCATTTAAAAGGATTTCCGGTTACATAGAACATGCTAAGAAGTCACCAAATCTAGAGATTATTGGCGGTGGAAAATATGATGATTCGTATGTTTTATTTTATTGTACATTTACCTTGCAAAATATCTATCTTATTCCTAATGTATGTCTTTTATCAGACGTGGATACTTCATCGAACCAACAATAGTAGTATCGAAGGATCCAAAAGACAAAATAATGACGGAAGAAATATTTGGCCCGGTGGTAACCATATACGTTTACAAAGATTCAAAACTCGACGAAACAATGAAACTAGTAGAAACTTCGACACCGTACGCTTTGACGGGATCAATATTTGCGCAAGATGAGTAAGTAACTAATTAGTCAAATTGATTTACAAATAAATTAATTATATCTTATTTATCTTTTACAGAACTTGGGCAAGAAAAGCTCTCGAGGAGTTTAAATACACAGCCGGTAACTTTTACGTGAATGACAAGTCGACAGGCTCGATCGTTGGTCAGCAACCGTTTGGTGGTAGCCGGATGTCCGGTACAAACGATAAAGCTGGCGGTCCTCATTACGTCCTTCGCTGGGCATCGCCGCAATCGATCAAAGAAACCTTTGTTCCTCTACGCGAATACGATTACGAGTATATGAGATCTTAGGTGTAAGTATCGTTAGCGGTTTGCAGAAACCGAATGATGCACTGTGCAGTATCCTCAAGTGCAAACGGGAAAACGCTGATGTTCAATGATTGGTCAATGAAAAATATCGAAAAATATCTTTATGCATTTCTTTGCGTGGATTCGTTGAATTCACACGTAAGGCGCTATTGATGCAAGTGATCCGCGCTTTGTAGGAATTTATACTGTAAAGCATTACTGCTTGTACACGAGATAACTTTATGATAAGCAACCTTGCAAGGGAAGCATTCAATGATTGGTATCGCTTGTACCAATCGAAAGGCATTTGTGTTTCGTGAAACGTGTTGATTAGTTCCGCAATGAATAGGAGGCGAGCACTCGCAGAGAAACAAAATAGTATTTGCAAAGCTACCGAGGATAGTTTTGAGTATAAGTTCACCTTAACATATTTGCTGCCAACAGAGATAACTAAAGTTTCGCGCCATGCAGCGTTCGGAACCTATATACTCATAAGATCAATTTTCAGTACAATAATCTTTTAATATCTCAGGAATTACTGTACATGGTCGCAAACAAAGAGGCATTTTCTTTTTATTATTTTTTTTTCTTGCAACGATACACGAAATTTTCTAAGGACATTAAATCATGTGTACCACGATCGAGAAATACAACATCCGCGGTGTGTGTTGAAACATTGTGATGAATGCGTACTAGTTGGAAAAACCGTCTGTTGCGTTTTTCTGACCTCACCTTTTTATATTCTTGTATAGATCGTTTACGATGGCCGATTGTTACGTTATAAACGCGCAATGTGAACATTCGTTTTACTGTGTAATTTACGAGACAATATGATATGTAGACGCGGGATAAGGCACAGTAAAATGCAGAAGTTACCCTCCCCTCTTTAAATTATGTTGTCACGCCTGATCGTCGATCGTTCGGGTATGTTGTTGTTGAACAGTGTGATTGAGACAAAGCGTCTTACAAGTCGAACAGTGATTAATAATTAAATATAAAGTAATATGTTAGATGTTGTGGCTGATGTTATAATGTAATTTATTTTAAGTGTACTATAGCAATAAAATACCATACAATTAGGTATGTAATTATAACGTGAATATTTCAGTATTCGAATATCGAACATATCTCTGTTCTTTCGATTTAATTATCACGATCAATTTCGATTAAATATTTTATTTGAACATTCAGAATTTGTTAGAGAAATTGTGCATTTAATCACTGAATGATTTACCGACGCAAAATAAATCTAATTGTAGGTAAATTCAGGTACTTCATTTCCTACCTTTCTATACTTACCCTTTCAAGATAATATTAGTCTTCGGAAAATAATCATGCGTCGATTCAGACTAAATTTTGGAAAATCCACATGCTTTGCTATCGACTAAATTTTGAAAAGCTTTTTGTGGAAGATAACTGTAAGATAACTCGAAAAGAAATTATGTCAGTTTCTATATCATCGACGAGAATGAGCGAACTGTTCTGAAGATACAATCCATAATTTTGGACCCATATTTCAAACCGAATAAAATTAATATTAATAAATATATATCGTGTTAGTCACTAAAATTTTTTTCGAAAAAAAAAAAAAATAAATGGAACACGTGGCGCCATCTAGCGGTAGATTATTAGAACTAATGAAAGTACAGTTTCAAAACCGTGTAGTTCACCCCGTTCGCCGGAGAGATGGCGCCACATGAAAAATTAAAATTTACGCTTTTTCTTGAACGATTGTTAGTTATTAATATTGATAATTCTTTCTAAAATTGTTACAGGAGTTTCTTTTGACATTTCGTTTATTCTTTGACACTTTATTTTATTGATTTATATACAAATGTACTTTTCCAATCTAACTAAAACTATTATCAAATTTTTAGTCTAATTTAACCTAATCCCATGTGATTTAACCCAACCTAATCTAACCTAACCTAATGCAAATCGAATAGAAGTGCAACTAATCTCAAATACGTGCTATTTTACATCTCCAAAAAGGAAGTGAAGGATTAATAAAGTAAAAGTCTATGAAGTTGGAAAAAGTCCTAGTCTAATCTGACCTAACCTAATCCCATTTAACTGAACCTAACCTAACCTAATTTAAATCGAATAAAAGTACAACTAATCTCAAATACGTGGTATTTCATCTCCGAAAGAACGAAAATAAAATAAAAGTCCATAAAATTGATAAAAATTTCTGTAAAATCGCATTCTTCAATTCTGTCTGCACTTCCCCACCTGTTCAATTTCTTCTTTCTATTTTTTCCACGTCGACGCTTTGACGAGGTCTGGAATAAGGTTGACGCTGGAAGACACCCACAGAAGAAGAGGGATATTCGATGGCTTAGGAGAAATCGTCGTTAATGGCTTTTCCCGAAGGATTCCCGAGCGTTCCGTGAGCTTTTTTACGAGTTTTTCGGGCTGGCCGATCTAAAGAGCGCTCACTCAAATCAAGATTCTCACCTTTTCACCGGCAGATCAGCCAGGATGACCGTCTTCGTTTCGCTGCTTTTTCTTCATCCATCTTTCGGGCCACTTCTGCCACCTTTCTTTCCTTTTCTCCGGTTTCTTTTTTTCTCAACAAACTAAATGGCTAGTTTTTTTCCCCCGTTCGCACCACCAGATTCCATTCTTTACGGTAATCTGAAATTGACTTGATGATGATCGATGCTCCCTGAAACTGAAACCGTGCACAAAACTTCGCGCAATTATTAATGAACATCCGATTATTATGTTTCCGATATTTTTTACCGATCCTCGTATTTTTAGGACTCGTTATCGTAACTTTGAAGTGGGTCGTTTCACCCGCGTGCAATAAAACGCGACTTCCTTTTTTCGTGCATCGAAATGCGGTGTACGAAGGAAACGATGGAAATGTATTAATTAACGATCTAATTGGCTCATTAAGGACTTGTAATCTTCGCACATTAGCGACTGCATTACCATTTTTCACTATCACCCTCTTCTGTTTAAATGTTGACCTTCATTACATTATTTATCTATTACATTCCACAGTAAAATTAAGATTTGAGATGAAATTTCCATACTACAGAAATATCTTGTATTTTACTACGCGTTGGACTACTACCCGTCGAATATCCACGCGCTGGATTACTACGCGTTGGATATCCACACGCTAGATTACAACGCGTTATCCGAAGCTGCTGTTCTCGCGTCTGCGCATGCGTAATCCTCGCGCTCTGATTGCTCCGTGTTTTCCTTAATAATTCAAAAACGAAGCTTCACACCGCATTTTTGCAAAGGGAAATCTTATTCAGAATCACGTCAGCTACCATTTCAGGGACCTACACTAATTCTAAGACACCCTGTACAATATTTCTATATTAGAGATGATTTCTGCAGTCACTAGTTTCGAGTGAGTGTGAAGTTTTGGAAATTAAGTTTGATAGTCACTGACAATATTTTTGAACATTGCGAAATTTTAGATTAAATTAAGTTCAACAGCTACTAAATATAAATTACATATGTTCGTATGCATTCTTAAAAATGCAACTACTAGTACGTGTTTGGACCACCCAGTACATTGACCTTCATTAAAATACATAGGAAATTACATAAGCTGTTTGTTCAACCAGTATATTAACTCCATGAAAAATGATTGTTTAATAGAGTATCGTTGAGCGAGACAAATCTATCTGAATAGCTGACGTGTTAGAAAAGAAAGTGGTAATAGAGTGTTTCTGAAATGTATTGAGTACGAGTGAAAGAACGAAGAATTACATAAATGTAAATAGGAACACGTTCTATGACGGAAAATGTAATGTTTCGTAAAATAGCTATTACATAAACAAGTGTTCTTTTGAGCGCTTTCTTGGAAGACATACACACCTTAAAAATTTCAATTATCTCGTTAAATATTTGTTTTGAACGTTCAGGATATGTCCATAGATTGTTGAGCATATTAACTTTCTACGATATTTTTTATATATTGAAGTTTCTAAAAACTCTGAAAAATTTTAAGGCACGCGCTGGACTACTACGCGTTGGATATCCACACGCTGGATTACTACACGTTGGATTATTACGCGTTGAATTACTACGGTTAGAATTACCACGCGTTGCATTACTACGCGGTGGACTACTACGCGTTGCATTACTACGCGTTGGACTACTACCCGTTGAATATCCACGCGCTGGATTACTAGGCGTTGGATATTGCGCTGGACTACTACGCGTTGGATATCCACACGCTGGCTTACTACCCGTTAGATTACCACGCATTAGATTCCTACGCTTAAGAATAACCAGAATATCCAGCATGGCGAGGGAAGGAACGCTGCGAACACTTGGAGAGCGGCCCTGAAGGGTGAAGCAAAAGGATGCAGCAACAAGCAAGACGGCGGAGGCACGGCGCGCTTTTCAAACGGCAAGAGGAGGGGAAGAAGTAAGAGGACAGCGAGAGGGAGAAGA